TCCAACCACAACTACTGCGGCTCCAACCACAACCACTGCTACTCCAACCACAACCACAGTAGCTCCAACCACAACAACATCTGCTCTCACCACAACCACAATTTCTACAACAGCAAGAACTACCGTTCGTACAACTGAAATAAACACGGCTGTACGCCAGATGACCTTTAGATCTCCTAATGATACCTTTAACAGCGATTTTGAAATTTATTCTTCAGTTGCTTTCAACCAACGGTCTCAACTTTTGTGGAATCGTGTAAGTTTTATTTTGTTAATCTTCCACTGTTTTGTAATTTTTTTTTCAGATCAGGTAACACATTATATTCTATATTATTGGTATATAAGTATCTCATTGTGTTAGAGTGCTGGTACTATCATATTGGAGCAATAAGGTCCAGCTTTAGAATCCAGATAGGCAACAGAACCCTAAATTAGTAAGAATGAGCAAGTATATACAATTGAGCCAGTTATCATGAATTGTATTGATAAAGCTGCCTATTAACTATTACTGAATTATAGCTTTCTCATTATATCATGAGTACGTTTTAAAATTAAATATTTAACATTTTCAGATTGTAATTTGATACAATGCGAAAAACTTATTTGATTTTTATAGCCCTCTAAAGCAGGGGTGTCCTAAGTGCAGCCTGGGGCAATTTGTGATCCTTGGTCCTTGTTTGCGTGGCCCTCAAAAGCAGTTTGAGAATGACAGAAATTTGGCCCATCAACATTGACTTTTGATTTTCAAATCAGGTTAAATGTATTACTAACATAATTTTCTCATAATGTAAGCGTTAGGAACAACAAAAGTTTTTGTCTTTTTATAACCAAGCATTTATTATAAGTAGAAAAATATTTATCCAGATTTTTACTGACTTTACTACACCCAAATTCAACTTTTATTGAATTTACTAAATTTGACTATGTTAGATATTTTTTGGTATTATCATTTTGTTATTACTTTAGTTCATATTCAGTCTAATGTTCATCAGTATTATTGTGATTTTGCAAAAGTTTTGGCCTTAAAATTCATATATGTTGTCTTTGGTTCTTTATTAGGTTCGAGAAAAATACCCAACAGACTAATTATCGCAAGCAATTTAAAACAAAGTGACACTAAATTATGTTCTTATAACTGAGAATACATTTGTTGTACTGAGCCAAAAATAATTTAAAATCAAGATACTTTTTTTTCATATAGCTAACTTGCAAAATAATTTTTATATTATAATGTGCAATGAATAACATGCCTTAGCTATAAACAAAAAACAAAATGTTGGACAACTTTATTTGTTTTATTATAAGGTTGATTCTCTTTTATTGGCCTTACTCTAGAGTCTCGAGGGCCAGATAAATAGTTGTGGTGCGATGTGTTTAAAGTACATGAATATTTGGACTTCAGCTTCATTGCCGGAATAAAATAGTGTCATAAAAATATACAATGAATTTTCAAAACTTAAATTGAAATCAGATGAGTCATGATACAGCATTGTTTTTCTTTGTACTATTTCAAATTCTGAGTCATAACAGAGAGCAAGTAATTAATTTCACATGATTTCTTTGCAGCTTAATCCCCTGTACAAACAAGCATTTCCATCATTCTTGAGGTTGACAATTGTCTCATTCAGGTATTGAAATAAAAAAAGACATTTATGTATTCTAAATGAGACTTTTGTATACATTAGTTTTTCTTTCTCTATATTTGCAGAAGGGGATCGGTTATCAACACGCTGGACCTCGAATTTCAAGCATCAGATGTTCCTAGTGATCAAAATATCGAAAAAGTTTTAATCAATGAGGCACCAAACATAAATGAATTCTCAGTGCAAGCGTCAACGGTTGTCATTGGACAATATGGTAAGCAAAGTAAAATACATCCGTAAATAACTGTAATTCTGTATTCTCAGGTCAATACCAAAATTTGTGAAATTTCTATGAAAGTAAAAATTTACCAGGATTTTCTTTAAATGATCAGAATTATGCTATACTTCATTACTAATATTCCTGTAAAACTGCAAATACAGTATCAACGACCACGATTGCACCAACCACAACCACAGCAGCTCCAACCACAACAGCTGCTCCAACCACAACTACAGCAGCTCCAACTATAACTACAGGAGCTCCAACCACAACAACAGGAGCACCAACAACAACTACAACAGCTCCAACCACAACCACAAGTGCTCCAACCACAACCACAGCCCCTCCAACCACAACCACAACAGCTCCAACCACAACCACAAGTGCTCCAACCACAACCACAACTACAGCCAGTCCAACAACAACCACAGTAGCACCGACCACAACCACAAGTGCTCCAACCACAACCACAGCAGCTCCAACCACAACCACAAGTGCTCCAACCACAACCACAGCAGCTCCAACCACAACAACAGCAGCTCCACCCACAACCACTGCTACTCCAACCACCACAACAGATGCTCCAACAACAACCACAGCTGCTCCAACCACAACCACAGCAGCTCCCACAACAACAACAGTTGCTCCAACCACAACCACAGCAACTCCCACAACAACAACAGTAGCACCGACCACAACCACCGCGGCTCCAACCACAACAACAAGTGCTCCAACCACAACCACAGCAGCTTCGACAACAACCACAGGTGCTCCAACCACAACCACTGCAACTCCAACAACAACCACAACAGCTCCAACCACAACCACAAGTGCTCCAACCACAACCACAGCAGCTCCAACCACAACCACAAGTGCTCCAACCACAACCACAGCAGCTCCAACCACAACAAC